TGGAGAACAGGGAGATAGAAGTCGTGGCATCTTTGCTGGTCGCCTATCATGAGGTGATGGTGGATAAGAGGCTCGATGATGTGACGGGATAGGTGATGGCTCTCGTTGTAAAGGTGTATAGTCGGGTCTATCAGGTGATGGCTCTGGGTGAGGTGATGGCTCTCGAAGTGGAGGAAGTAGAGGCTGCTCATCATTCGTGCCATCAAGAAAATGCTGACTAGCTTGCCACCAATCAGTGGCAAGCTCAGCCTCCGTGGGTGTCAGTCTCATTAATGGAATGTTGGCCTCCTAAAAATATAAAAACTCAAACAAAGTTAAACGTCTACTATTAATAACTTGTTTATATATAATAGTATTTGTGTTAACTTACATTATTTATTGTCGCATATGGTATTAAGTCTTCCCAATCCAACAGACGTTTCCTCTTCCAGGAAATAGCCCTGGGAATATCATTTGAAGTTTTTATTGCATATGTCTTCATGGCGGGAAAGGCCTCTAATATCCAAATCTACAAACAATATAATAACAAACATTAGTAATTGTTAAATAATTAATTATAATTTTGAAAACATTATATAGAAATTCTTACCTTAAAGGCCCAAACAAAGCCTGACAAAGTGTATTTCGACCCATTGCCTCGCAAACTTTTGCAGTCATCAAAGGCAGACGACAACTTAGTCCAGGTAGCTTTCCATATATACGAACCCCACGGAAACAGATTCCATGCATTTAGGTCCTCTACCAATAATATTAGCTCATAAGGAATAGGTTGTCTGGCCTCTCTGCCTAAAAAGCCGGCATACAAAAGTAGTAGAAGGAATACTCGGACAACATCGACTTCATTCATCCGAGTAAAACCATCTTTCTTATTAAACAATTTCTTCATGTCGTCGACGTGTAAGTTTGGCTTCTCTATTGACTCATCAGGAAAAACCCTGGATAACCATGATGGGCGGGTGATATGACGAGTGTACCGGCCTACATCATCGTGTCCGAATCGTAGACCAGTGATTAAGCAGAACTCCTTCCGCCCAAAACAAGTATACGCCGGTGGAAAATGAAACCATATCTCTTCCTCACCACGTTGTATACTGTCGGGTAGATCGCTAGTGATGGTCTGAAGCCACAAATGGGTCAAATTAGCATCTCCACCCGGATGTTGTACTCTCAGCCATGGCCCGAAGCAGGTTTCCTCAAACAATTTTCTTTGTGCAGGTGAAAGCTTCGAAGCAATTGTAGTGGCTAGGCTAACTTTATTCCTTAATGTCAATGAAGCCGAAAAAAATTTCTACAAAAACTAAACATACCAAGTTAGATATACCAAAAACTACACTGTCAAGATATACCAAAAACAATAAACATAAATAGTAGTTTATTCTTGAAACTAAAATTTGCAACACTGTTTTGTCTTTTGGTTGAAATGAAAATCGCAACGAGATAATGAGAATCGCAACGCGGAAATGACTATCGCAACGAGAGAATCGCAACGCGAAATGACTATCGCGACGAGAGAATCGCAACGCGAAATCAAAATCACAACGCGAAATGAAAATCGCAATGCGATTTTGGTTTCGCGTTGCGATTCTCTCGTTGCGATAGTTATTTCCGCGTTGCGATTTTCATTCTCGAAACTATTCTTCTTCTGCATTACTTCAACCAAAAGATAAAACAAAGACAAATACTAACTTCACAGGCTAAACAGTTTAGCAGTATTGGCAGCAATCGAATGAATTTAATAAGAAATCTAAGTGAAATGGTTAATCTATTATTGAAATTACCAGTAAACTTATCATCAATCTCAATATGAAAAACCTAAAATAATGCAAAAATTTCAAAATAAAAAAAAAACTAACCCTCGGAGGTTGATTTTCCATTTCTGAATGATTGTGAGGGATTTTTGACTGTGAATGGTTGTGAGGGATTTCGTCGGCGATGGGGACGGAAATCTTCGGAGATGGGGACGGATTTCGCCGTAGAGAGTGAGAGATGGAGATGGGACTGAGTGTTGTGATTTTGGGTTTGAGGTTATGAGTTGCGATTACTGTGGACGGTTCAGTTTCCGATTTATTAAGAAAAAATTCATGTTTGGAATTTGAAAAAAAAAATACGCGTTAATACGAATGGCGCTATGTAAATCGCGTTGCGAAAGTCAGAATTACGTTGCGAAAGTCAGTATCTCGTTGCGATTTTGTATTATCGCATTGCGATAGTCAGTATCGCATTGCGATTTTCCCAATTCGCGTTGCGATTTACTTATTCGCATTGCGAATTGGGAAAATCGCAACGATACTGTAGACCATCGCAACGCGAAATGCAACGCGAATTTGCGATAATGGAGATCGCGTTGCGAATTAGCGATCGCATTGCGATTTTGTTGGTCATTTTGGCAAATCCGAAAAAAGTTGGTTAAAATCGTATATTATAAGGCATTTTTGGTCACTAAGGCGATTTTCTCTTTAAATAAATCTTAAGATAAAGTATACATATGAACCAGGGGCGAACCCAGGATAAAAATTCAGGGTTGCATAAAAAAATTATTATAAATTTTTTTTAGCGGTTGCACAATATTAAAGGTGACACTTGTATTAATTAAAAAAAAATAGAAAAAATTAACACTAAATAGACAATTGTGTTGCATATAATTTTTTTCTTATAAGAACTTAACTGAAATATGCTTAACTCCTCATATTGGAGAGGATGGTCCAAGAGAGAGTGACTCATTTCGTACCCTTAGAACACAACAAAGAAGTAATCCTTGGGGTCGGTTTCAAACGCCTTGTAGAAGCTGACAACATTAATATTCCTCACAATTTGAGGGATTGCCCGGGCTACCCCTGGGTCCACCCCTGATATGGACATTCACAATTATTGAAAGTTATAAAATGATTCATCAACTATAAATCGATGTTTTATTGAGTCCCTCACTTTTAAAAGTTACAAAATAGTCTCATGACTATTCATATGTTCTAAACTTATCATTCTTCGTGAAAAAAATTATGATTGTCTAAACTGGAGGTTAACTTACTAGGATATGATAAAAATTTGATCACAAAACTGTTTGAGTTGTATTTTATGGATCAAGTTTCTATTTACATTATGTCGTCGAGCCAGTGCTTGAAACAATATGTTATGGAGCCAGTACTTAAAAGCTACGATGATGTCAGTAGACATCATTAAAATATAATTTTATCATATTTCAATCAACAAATTAACGGCCAACTCAGATGGCTGTTAATTTTTAATAGAAAATGACAAGTTTGAAACATATAAATAATCATGTAATCATTTTATAACTTTTAATGGTCGATGAACTTAACACAATAATCTTACTACAGTCGAAGAATGATTTTATAATCCAAAGTACTAAATGAAATAATGTTATAGTCAAGAGACTATTTATATATTTTATCTTAAATCTTAATAATAATAAAAGAATATTATACTTTTTTCAAGATCCTAAATTTAAATAATCGTATCGTGCGTTATCAATGAGTTTATATAATAATACTTTATAAATTCGAAAGACAATTTAAAAAAACACACATGGATGCAAGGGCCAAATGTTGACATTGTGAGTTGTGCTTGTGCACTTTGGTTCCGTAGTCTACCTTGGTTTTTCTTAGGGTAAATTTTACGTATAATATCTTAATTATCATTTTTATTTTATTTTATTTTGATTACTTAATTATTTTTTTTAATTATGTATAATTTAATTTTTATTTTATTTTAGTCATATGTTACTAAAAAAATTAACGATTATATTAACATATCATTCTAAAATAATATTATATTATTATTAAAAAAAATAATGGAATACTACCTTACCAGTTTTGTTAATCGGATGAACTGAACAAAAGTGTACCCAACGTCCTCTTTTTAAAATCGATTAAAACCCGCAGTATAAACATGGTAAAATCCTGGACTAGAAAGTAAACATTGAGCTGATCTGTGAACTCACGTGCTGTGATTTTCACCGAGTGGGAAAAGGAGACCACAGACGTAGGCAGCCGAGCACCGGCAATTGAAATTTACAAAACCAATGGACCTCAAATCCCAAAGCTTTTGCTTTACAAACGTACTTCCCACTGCCGCCGCCCACTAACCACGTGCTGCTTCTTCGGACGACAAAAGAATCTCTGTTCCTCTGACCACTCCCCCTCCTACGATGGAAAATGAATATAATTTCGTGGATTTCGTATCGTATCCGATTTAATTAAGGTAGAAAGATGGATGTGGATTTAGAAAGTGGTATTCGTCACTGATAATGGGCGAGTGATGAGTTTAAGACCTTATCCGCCCTACATCCGCCCGCCCCACAGCCGCCAGTCCATTAAATACCCATTAAATTTTAAACCATATAAATTTAAGTATAAATTTAGAGTTTGTCATTTATGCGCGTCAAAGAACAAAATATTATGTATTTGTCATTTATGTTTCTAGGCTTTAATTATGTATTTTATTATGGTGTTTTATGTACTTTAAGATTTATGTTAATAATTAACTCAAATACTCATTGGTTTATTTTATTATGTTTTTTAATGGACGTGTTTGTTTTATGTTTGTTGTTTATGTATAACTTAAGATTGTTGTCAGATGGGTCTAATCGAATATGTTTCTAGTTGAGTAGTGAGTGTGAGGATGAATTTGAGAATGTACGTGCGTAGTCAGGTGTGGATTTGAAAAATTTTACCTATCATGAATGATGACGGATAATGAATTTAAAAATATTATGTGAATATAAAAATAAGGAGAGAATATTCGCACCCGACTCGTCCGTTTGTCATCTCTACCCTCCATTCAACCGCGTTTGACTTCAAACACACATTTACCACCCAAACACCAATTAACTACAGGTGTCCGCGTTTCCTCTCTCTTTTTGGCTGTCAAACAACGCCTTGTCACCTCTCCCCTCCCATTTTCCATTTTTCATTTCCATGTGCATGCTACTACTGCCTAACCCCCCATTTTCATCTCTAGGCTTTTCATTTGTTTTGTTTTCTTCTACGGAAATTGATCACCATGGCTTGTGCTGATATTGGGAACAGTAGTGATTGTCTTAATCGCTATTCTTTACGAGGAGAGGAGTTGACGAGGGCCGATCAATGCCAGGTGATTCCGGATATGATCGTTGGGAAAGCTGACGTGGCGGATAACGGAGTCAAAGTTATTGAGATGACAGTTGGGAAGTGCAGACGCGGAAGGCCGCCCAGAAATAAAGGGAAAGTCGATTCTTTATCGGCACCGCCGCCGCCTCCAAGGGCGAATCAGGATGAAGAAGAAGAAGATGTTTGCTTTATATGCTTTGATGGCGGGAGTCTCGTGCTTTGTGATCGCCGGTGAGTTTTGAAATTTTGCTGTTTTTATCGTCTTTTTTCTATTTCTGTTGTTTTGATGATTAGCAAATGGAAGAGAGTTTTAGCTAGCTGACCGATATCTAGAGATTGAGCTGACATTTTATGAACCTTTTGCACAATCCAGCTTATCTGAAATATCTGCTAAATATGGAATTTCAACGCCGATACGGCGATACCTATGCATGATATTTTTTTAATCATACCAATCATTCATATATCTCAATTCACGATCTTCTTCTTTTGTCTACATAAATTTGGTATAGTTTTTTAACCTTCTGTTTATTCTGGCTTATATATTCTCTCCTTGTTTTTCTTCCTTTTTTTCAATTTGTGTTCTTTATTATTGCAGATTATAGGCGATTTTCTCGATATATCACCGGTGGCCGGTAATATTATCGATCTAATATCGATCAGACTATATTTTCCGATCTAACACCCTTAGCAGTAAAACGCGCCCCCTGCACTGCGCTATACGATGATTTGACGTCACGTGGGGTATAGCGCGCCCCTGCATCGCGACGCGCTATACGGTGAACTGACGCCACGTGGGTATAGCGCAGCCCCTGCAACGCGCTATACGCCACGTAGGGGTATAGTGCGGATCAGGTACCGCGCTATACCTTTACTCCTGAATAATTTTATATAGCGCGCGGCAGGTACTGCGACATACCTTTACTCATAATTTTATATAGCGCGGGGCAGGTACCGCGTTTTGTATAACTTTCCTCGCTATAAATACCATTCTTCTTCGGTTAATTTCTCACATCTCTCCTCTCAACTTATAAATTAATACAATAATTTCGTCAACGAGTCAATAATTCTGGCAATCTTCTCATATTTTATTTAGAAGTTCGTGCCATTTTTCGTTATAAGGTAATTTTGTTATAAATTTTTTATTATATTTATTGTTTATTATGATTATTTGAAAAAAAATATTATACTAATTATTTTCAATTAATTTTTGTGTTTGTAAAATTAGAAAGAGAGAGAATACGTCGAAATAGTTTTGCGGTGCAAGTAATAATATTAAATTATATTATTTAATTTATTTACGTTGATGTGTAAAAATTTTATTGTGTTATATGTTCGTTCATATATAATTTATTAAATCAGGTTTGTTTCATTTATTATTTTTGCAGATATAATAGTGCCGCACTTTTAAACTCAAATAATGGCGCGACTTTCAGCTATTGTTTATTATGATGGTGAAATTCGAGAAGATAAAACCGACGTTGTTTTTGTATCAAATGAGCGTGTTAAAATATCATCAAGAGAAACATAACTCTTGAGGAGCTGATAATGAAGATTTCGAGGAAGATTCATGTTGGAAGTAGTAGAAGAGTGTCGTCGTTGCAATATAGATTTTCAACATCATTGTTGCCATTAACTTATACAGCGTTCGAACTTTCGAACAATGATGATGTTGAAATGATGGTTGAAGCTCAAAGTAATTATTCAGATGCCGCTATTGAGATGTATGCACATTTTGTTCAAGTGCATGCTGTTCGGGGTCAATCATTAAGCTTCCACTATGGGCTGACTGAACAAGTTGATCAAGTTGACAGCCCGACGACAGTAATGTATAATGATTTTAATGCCATAATGGGGAGACATTCATCCGCAACTCCTTACGATATGTACCGAGGTAGGTCGACGAACAATCCGTATGGCAACATCGCATCCAGTTCAAGTGGAAGACATTCATCTGCAAATCCCTTTGACCATAATATGGAGATGCCATCGACGCAACCATCTGTGCAGTTTCCATTTGACACGATGGCTTCAAGCTCTGGGGGGAGGCATTCGACTGCGAGTTTTTTCGATCTCAATGTCGATATGCCTTCCAGTTCAAGGGGAAGGCGTGCAAGTAGTAGGTTATTCTACCTAAATGTGGAGAGCATGGAAGAACCATCATCTCCACCAGAAGAACCGCTTCGTGAGCCTGGTGCGGATGGTGCTGAGACTGGACTATTCATTGACCCAGAATCACCGCAATTCAACTCCGTTGATGATGAAGTTCCAGGAAATATGGCACAAACTGACCCTCCTGCACACATGTATGAAGCTGATTATAGTGCAATGTACGAGCCAGAATTTGCGGATATGCCTCATCTCGGTGACTATGGGTATTACTCATCAATAAATAATGGTGAGTTATCTTTAGGCATGGAGTTTTCAAGCAAAGAAGAAGCGATGATGGCTATCAAAAATTATAATATCCGTAATTCTGTTCAGTCCAGAGCAGACCGCTCCACGACCGAAAAATATGTATGCTACTGTGCCCAGCGCGAAAACGGATGCAATTGGATGGTTCGCGTATCGAAGAAGAAGAGGAAAAACAACAGATGGGAACTAACAGTATACAACGGTCCTCACACATGTTGTGCTGGAGGGGTCAACCAATATCATCCCAACTTGGACTCTGAAGTGATATGCCAAGCCATCATTCCCATGGTCAAAGCAAGCTCTCATATAGCTGTTGCAGTGTTGATTTCATCTATACAATCGCAGTATGGGTACACTGTCTCCTATAAAAAAGATTGGTTCGCAAAACAAAATGCCATTGTCAAACTTCATGGCGAATGGGATGCATCTTACAACGAACTTCCAGGTTGGTTTAGGCTGGTGCGAACGTTGAATCCTGGGACAATTGTGGACTTCGAAACCTCTTATGCATACCATAATGATCGAGTTCTTTGCGATCGATGCCAATTCTACCGGGTTTTTTAGAGTTACCCACAGTGCGTTAATGCTGTCAAATACTGCAAGCCTGTGGTCCAGATCGATGGGATTTTCTTGTATGGAAAATACAAGCAAGTTTTATTATTAGCAGTTGTCCAAGATGGCAATCGCAACATTCTTCCAGTTGCTTTTGCTCTTGTCGAAAGAGAAGATAAAACTTCTTAGGCTTTTTTCCTCTGAAATTTACGGGCACATGTTATCACGAGGGAAAACATCTGTGTCATTTCAGATCGCAGAGATGGAATCAAAGCAGCAGTGGAGTCTTTGGGTCCAATGTGGCAACCACCCTTTGTCCAACATAGGTATTGTCTTCGACACATTGCCGCGAACTACCATGGAAGGTACAAGAAGAATGATGAGCGTCAATTAATTGTGCGTATGGGTAAGTGAAACTTAGCAAGTTTGTTTTCTTTCGATCGTTTTAATTTTGCAAAGACAGCAAGTTAGTAAGTTATATATTTTTTGATCAGGTTACAAACTACTTCCTCGAACGTTTGAATCAATGTTTTAAGAGTTGCGGGAGAAGAACGAGGAAGGATATGATTACATCAGCCTCATCGATAAAGAAATGTGGACGAACGCATATGATGATGGATATCGATATGGACACATGATGACCAACTTGGCAGAGGCAATCAATTCAACCTTAAAGGGTGCACGTCACTTACCAGTAGCGGCTTTGGTAAAGACTACATATTTTTGTTTTAGGGCTCTTTTTGCGAAGCTTGGGGGACAAGCTCAAACCTGGATGCAAGGTGATCATGTCTATCACCCTAAATTAGTTGCAGATCTACAGAAAAAAATTGTTGCATCAAATGGAATGTCTGTAACAAGCTTCTCTAGAAGGCATGAAATGTTTCGTGTCACAGAGTTGTCGCGACCTCTTCAAGGGATTGAAGCTGTGTCGTTAAGAGTAAATCTAAGGGACAGAACGTGCGACTGCGGGTTTTTTAAGCTCTGAAGTATCCATGCTCTCATGTGATAGCAGCTTGCTCGCATACACGTCAAGACTATAACCATTTTGTGGATCCCGTATACCTACTATCTGAAGCTTTTAAGGTATACGAATTTGAGTTTCCCCCTATAGGTAATGACAAAGACCCTGATGAGGTTCAAGATTAGCTTCCGATTGTACCAAATCCGAGTTTATTGAGGGAGCGTGGTCGTCCAAAATCTAATCGAATTCATTGCGATATGGATATTAGAGAAAGATCTAAACAAGACAGAAGATGTGGGCATTGTAGAAACCCAGGACACACTAGAAAAACATGTTCACTTTTGTTGTCATCAAGTAACAATTGATGAGGAAATGATGTATTTTATTATCAAATAATAATTCTTCTACTTTAATTTGCATTTACTTCGAGTTAATGTCATTTGATAATCACCGATGAAGATTAAAAAAACAAACACAATCATTAAATTTTAACAAGCTAATAACAATAAGTATTAAATGGTAAATGATAACCAAATTACAATAACTGATATTAAATGGTAATAAAAAAGCGAACTGAAATACATTAAAAAAGTCCAACAAATTTAACAAAATAAAGTAAGTATTATATGAGAAATAATAAAAAAATTACAATTTAACAAAATAAAGTAAATACAAATATAATAAAAACAAAATCTATCGATGCCTACGACGCGAATGTGTTCCGCAGGGCGGTGGCTGTCGGTCTCGAGGAGGATTTCTTCGTATCACTGGTTCTGACTCCTCGCTGTTATCATCATCACCATCTTCATCGTCGTCGTCGTCTTGCGTAGGTACATGAGGAACTGATGACGATGAAACACCTCCATAGAATAAGGACCCTGGAGGTGTATGACTGACTATCCCACCGGCCTGCGAAAACTGGGAAAACTCATAAAACCCAGACATCGCTGAGTGTGAAAACTGTTCAGGAGGCTGTGTCTGTACTGCGGCCATGGGTGATGAGGCTGGACCCGCCAAATATTCAGCATATGAACCCCAAGTCGGGTCTACAAACATAGACCCATGATAGCCTCCAGGAGGGGTCATCTGTGACGGTGGCGGTGGCGGAGTCATAAAACCAGGTGACGGCGGCGGCGGCGACATCTGGTAATGGAAAGGCGATGGCGGCATCATAATGGTTGCGGCATCATATATGGCTGCGGTGGCTGCTGGGAAAATCCTGCTGGTGCAGCTGAGGATGAACCGGATGCACCTCCTCTCTGTCTACGAGTCGGGGACGATGGTGCTGTGTCGGTGAACGTCTCTGTCGACGTCGTGGAAAGGTCTGCCCTCGTGCATCCTCGGGAAGTAGAAACGGTTTCCCGTTACTGTTGAACCACTCATAATAATCCTCAGCATACATCAAGAGGTCATCAAAAATGGGCTCTCTACGGGGAAGGCACCGATGTCGATCCTCTCACAACACGACCCACCCATGATGCCTAACCAGCCAATCTGTATCCGTCTTGCCGCGTCTGTCTAAGCTATGCAACTCGTCCATATTGCGAGGTGCTTCCGAAATTGGTTGAAAACACCAAACTGCGGGAGCACGCGATCAGTGGAGTGCCACTCGACGGTCGTATAACAGATCAGAGGGACCATCGTCATCGAAACATCTAATGGACCCCTCAACTCAGGTGGGATCACCGCCCTCACATCATCAGTAGAATATGACAACCATTCAAACTAAAACAAATAATATATAATTTTTATCAAAACAATAATCTAATTATATAACTATAATCTAAAATCGATTTTTAAACATTAAAATTCATACATGTATGCCAGCCTTCTGATTGATTAGCACCCTAATCTTTTCTAAATCATTAGGTAGCTCCTGATGAGTTTTCCTATCAGTAGACCACCTATTCAAGGGAAAAAATTTGTTATACGCTGTATAAAATTATTAATATACAAAATCAGTTTTATAATTACCTCAGAAGTAGTGGAAATACGAATGAGTTCTTCACAACGGGACATAAAAAGGGCAATCGATACCATGCCCAAGACTGCAGCAGCAGGAGACATCTGCCGATAGCATTACGCCTGTAGTCAGTGGCTCCACACATCTCCCTGTACAGCAAAGCCAAAACTGCCGAGCCCCAACTGAATGATCCGACGAGACGAAAGTCGCTAAAATGTCGCAACCACATGCAATGAACTAGATTACGCGATTTGTCCGGCATCAGCAACCCTCCTATCAGCTGCAGTATGCATGCTCGTGCATACATTTTAACCTCATCCTTAGAGGCGTCTGCGCTCAACTCCCGAAAATTGACATCTAACCAATTTAACGGTATCCTACCTCCGATAAAATTTTCCGGGACACATCCTAGACTATCCCGACACAAAGCAGTCCAAGAACCGGAAGCTATCCCCGATATCACATCTCCATCCACCGGAAGCCCCAGGTGCATAGAAACATCCTCAAGCGTGATCGTGCACTCTCCGCACGGAAAATGGAATGTGTGGTCTCCGGCCTCCACCGCTCTATTAAGGCAGAAATCAGGTCTGGCTCTATCTTACAGTGACCCTGATATCTACCTATGTAACCGAATCCAGCCTCTACTAAATACGGTAAGACACGGCTGAGTATCACTAACTTAAGATTCCTAATAAAAGGATCTAATACACGGTCATTCTCCTAAAAATAAATAATTACAAAAATTAATTCTTAATCTAATAATCATGCATTAAATGAATCAACTAATTATTAATAATAATTTAAATTAAATTAAAACGTTAAAATGTTACCGTATCAGCAAAGTGTCGAGATATTTAATTATTAATATAATAATCATGCATTAAATAAATAACTAAATATTACTAATAATTTAAATTAAATTAAAACGTTAAAATATTACCGTATCAGCAAAGTGTAGAGATATATGATTTCCATCCGAGCGAAGTAGATTGCCTTCCATTATATATTTGCAAAAGAATATTAGTAAAATATAAATAAAGTAAAAGCATAATAGTAAAAATATTATAAAATATACCTTAAAAAGAGAGTATTTGAGAGAAATTTAGAGAATTTGAGAGAATTTGGTGTGATAAAAGTGATTGAGGATGGGGGTATTTATAGGGAGGATAGAGACGTGATGGGTCGGTAATTAGGGGTATAGCGCGCCCCCTGCACCGCGCTATACCCCACGTGTCAGATATACATGTATAGCGCGCTGCAGGGGCCGCACTATACCCACGTGGCGGCAGCTCACCGTATAGCGCGGTGCAGGGGGCGCGCTATACCCCACGTGGCGCCAAATCATCGTATAGCGCGGTGCAGGGGTGCGCTTTACTACTAAGAGTGTTAGATCGGGAAATATAGTCTGACCGGTGCTAGATCGGTAATATTACCGGTCACCGGTGATATATCGGGAAAATCGCCCTGATTATATTGTATTTTATGGGTCAGAGGCTGTCGTAAGGCATACCATCCAGCTTGTATCAAAAGGGATGAGGCATTCTTTAAATCAAAGGCCAAATGGAACTGCGGTATGTTGCATTTTAGTTACTACTTGTAAATAATTGTCACATTCATTTAAGGTTTAATCAATTAACTGGTGCAACGTGCTGAAAGCCTGTGTTAGCGTTATCTAGATTCATGTTCCTCTTCGCTTGCTTTGCAGTTGGTTAACTGTTCTTCTGTTGTTCCGTTGACACACACGTTGAAAGGTAGCATTCCATGTCTGTCATGAGTTTGGGTTATTTGTTATTGTGTAGTTACTGGATTTATCTTGATTATGATATGGATCATACCATTAACATGTATCTGTTGTTCCGTTGACACACACATGTTGAAAGGTAGCATTCCATGTCTGTCATGAGTTTGGGTTATTTGCTGTTGTGTAGTTACTGGATTTATCTTAATTATGATATGGTATCATACCATTAACATGTATCTGTTGTTCCGTTGACACACACATGTTGAAAGCTAGCATTCCATGTCTGTCATGAGTTTGGATTATTTGTTATTGTGTAGTTACTGGATTTATCTTAATTATGATATGGTATCATACCATTAACATGTATCTCTTGAATGGTGGCTTCTCGTGTCGGTCATTGACTCTAAACCCCAGTCTACTAAGAACAAACAGTCTCTTTCTTCGAGTTCTCTTCATCAAGATTTGGATCCTAGTTGGAGTACAGCCTCTAGTCTAGATGGTAATGGACCCTTGTGTTCTGAAGTAGCTGGTGAATGGGGTGGGTATTCCCCAACCCCAGTGAAACTTTCTGTGGAGGAATGGGATTCAGATCTTGTGCTCGAGTCTTCTTTGAAACAAACTAGCTTGGGAAGTGATCATGCTGCTATTCCAAGTTCAGGAAGTGGCCAATTGGCACATTCTTCTCTCACAAATCCTGCAGAAAATGCAGCTGGTTGGGATTCAATTATTCCTGACCCCAATGAGTATTCTTTTGGTGATGAATCAGTTTCTGATCTCTTGGCTGAAGTCAAAGCGATAGTCTCTTAATGGCGTGACTTCACCTACATCAAATTTACTTTTCGAGGGAGTGTTGGCTTAAGGTGCTGAACCTGATTGTTTTAGCCCTGCACTTAATCCAGGAAAAAGGGATGCTTTGTGCTCCACAAAGGATCTACGAATGTCATCTGAGTCGACCGTGACCAATGAGACAATCGAGGCTTCTGATTGTGAAGTTCTTGATGCTCAGAAGAGTTCTGGCAGGCATTCTTCCACGAGTTCTGAAAACGATGTCTCAGTTAACCAATATGAAGCTGGTTCAGGCATGCTGCTTCCTGCACCAGCAGTAACAACTTGGGACATGACCGCTATAGATACTACTTGGAGAGCTGGTCGAGAATCTACGACAATCAACTGGGAAGCCATTCAGGGAAATTTAAGTTTCAATTTGGGAGGCACAGGTCAAGGAGCTAGAAACTTCAGTTGGGGAGCCGGTCAGGGAACCTTCCAGTACAATGGAAGCATCAACTTAAGCACTTATTGGGGAAGCCAACAGTAGGGCCTTGATTTTCAGGGAAGAGATTTGAGTTCTAGTAGGGGTGTGTCCTCGATGCATAGGCACTCGACCTATGATGTTCCTACTCTAAACGGAGTTGGTTCTTTCAGACCTCCGCCCAAAGGGCAACAGGTTTGTAAACTTTATGAAAGGGGAGATTGCAAGAAGGGAGCATCCTGTAGCTATTGGCACCCTAGATAAGGTAACCACAGCAATTGTGTGCATTTTGACTGTTAGTTTGTTCGCCAAAGTTTTAAACGTAAGCTGTAACAGTAGTGTATCATTCATTATTCAATATGGGTATATAACAATCCATATTATATCTGTACTATGATATCAACAAATAAAATAAGGATTATTATTTTATATTAATATTGTGTAATTTATTTTATACATGTCTAGTTTAATCTTAAATATAATATGAGTGCTCATTCGGTTAATTTGGTTAGTGATCAAATTAATTGAAATTTTTTAACTATTAATTGAATCAATTTTTTTTTAAAATTATTGATCGAACAAAATTCAGTTAATTCGATCGATTTTTGAATTAATTAAAATTTATTGATTTTTTAAGCTTATAATTATTATTAAATAAATAGTCCGAGAAACAACTAAAACCATTTAATTAAAATTCATCCATATATATATATATATATATATATATAGTTATTCGAACTCGTGCATTCAAAGAAAATTAACACTCTATAATCCGGAGGCACATAACTACTAGTCAAAATCTCAAATTTCGAAATCCAATGGACAATTTATATAGCCTCAAATTTCGAGGTCAAACACACACCTTGATGTGTAAAACGGGAACTACAAATTGGTAAAGTCCATTCATTTGCGAGTTACAGACAAAACCCCAGAAATTTCCAGGAGAAAATAGAAGAAATGGTGAGGCGGTCGAGGTTGATCCTTACTCTCTTCGGCGCAGGTTTGGTGTTGCTGGTGATTGGTAATGCTCTGAGGCTAGCCAAAGCCAACAATTCACCTTCCGCCTTTGTCCAAAACGCCATCTTCTCCAACAAGATCGTTATGTTCTCCAAATCCTATTGCCCGTATGCCGTTTTTCTCCATTTCTTTTACATTTACAGTTTCGTTTCAACCTTTCAATGTTCATGATTTAGAATCAGGATAGCATAGTTATCTATTGCTCCGCATAATCAATCTTGTTTGGACTTTTTGACTTCATGGGTATTTCTTCAAAAGTATAATTGAAACTTCAATTCTTGGGGTTTTGTGATTAGATAATATGATGGGTTGCTCCTAATTCTTTCGCTTTTGTCTTGTTCGTAGGTATTGCCTTCGTGCCAAGCGGATTTTCAGTGAGCTAAATGAGAAACCTTATGTTGTAGAGCTTGATCTCCGAGGTATCTGTGGATATTATTCATCTGCTTCTGATTCATTTATTGTATATGTGTGTGTGTGTGAGAGAGAGAGAGAGAGAGAGTAGAAAAAGAGTAATTTTAGATGAAGTGTTGACTTGTTTAGTTTTTGTTTTAGACGATGGAGGTAAAATCCAGTATGTCCTTCTGGATTTGATAGGTCGAAGCACTGTTCCACAAGTGTTTGTGAATGGCAAGCATATTGGAGGCTCTGATGGTTAGCTACTTTGTCCCATAGTATTTGTTTTTCTCGACATTAGACATATATATATATATATTGATTTCATTTTTCTTATTTCTTTTTGACTACTTAGATCTCAGAGCTGCAGTCAATGATGGTACACTGCAAAGGCTTCTAGCTGCAAGTTGATGAACTGTTAGAAAGAAGGAAATGCAATCATTCTATCTGATTCGTTAACTATAAAACTGCTCGAGGATTAGAGAATCATATCTGGGTTGTGAATTTTGTTAGTTCACAGCAAGATTTCGATGAGTGCTCTGTGATAATGGCATGCCCTTTGTGAGGTTATCTTATATTGCTTCATCGTTATGGAGGACTCTAGTTTAGATCTTAAGTACATTTTAAATGTAGATGAGGGAGGGGACAATAACCTCATTTAGCTTTCACATTAATCTATACTTCTGTTGGTGGATCCTTTTCCTCTAACAAGTGGATTTTAGGAAGTCCACGTTCATAAGATGCGCTTCTACTGAAATATGTCAACATGGTTTTCCTATATAATTTTCAGATAAAATGTCTTCAACTATGCTTCTGAATGATCTATTTTGTGGTTCTTTCTTGCTGTTAGCATTGATGTGTATGAAAAATCAGAAAAAGTCGCCAAAAAATTGTGGATCTGAGTTATTTCAGTACGTGCTTCTTGTCAAAATTGGTTGCCTGGAGAAGGTTCTTATAGTGTATATAACTTGCGCATCAGCGATGCCACCCCATCTCTTTACGGGATTCCTGACGGCATGGCGATGATTTCCCTTTTATTAGATTGTCCAAAGCCACCTGATTCTGAAACACACATGTTTGTCTGTGTGTGCTAATATTGCATGCTTTGGTATTTAGTTGATGCTCTTTTTGGCCTTTGTTAGATGAATGTTTGGGGAAGGTGTCGTGGACCATAGTTGCTAACAAATTATCATTCATTGAAAAATGATTTTTTTTAATCATCTACGTTTCAAATTGACGATGCATATATATATTAGAAGAATAAAAAACCATTTGCCCTTGGTAAGGTTTCCCTTTTCTATTGCCCATCTCCAATGGCTGAAGCTGGCTCAGGCTTAGCCTCTGCTACAAGAACATGTAGGGATGCTATGGTGAATAACTGGACAATTGGTTGCATGTCTCATTTGTCATTCCGTTTGTTGGTCAAAGCTGGATCGTTTTACAAGCACTAGTCCTAAAGACATACCCGGCTCGGCTCTCGTTTGTTTCATATGCTTGCTTCTTCACTGTTACGCAGTTTGGTGCGGTTGCGCCTGCCATCGAAAGAGACCCCGAGCTTGGCAGGTTCACTCCGGCAATGAAGTTTTCACTATTGTCTATGTGGTCTGTATCGGCGACCTTAAAACCCAAGACCCCAACAGTATTAATCATTGTATCTGTGGAGTTTACTAGTTGTGTTTGATGCGGAGCAGGGACTCATAGCTTCGACAATGGTTCTGTCCATTGCTTCAAGTGTATTTGGTTCAGTTAAATCCAATTTTTCAATACATATTGTATGATTTTCTAAAGATGAAAATGACATAAAAACGAAAGTTTTTTATTCGATTTGATTCGATTTTATTGGATTTTGTGATTTTTTATTCTTCACTATTTTTCAAATTCAACATCTAAATAAAACAAATTTCAAACTTAATTTGAATACAAAAACACAAATTTAAATCTACAAAAGATAATTTTATTAATTTTATTCGGTTTGATTCGAGTAAATTTATCTTACAACAAATTCAAGATGGATTTGACTAGGATGATATTTTTCTTATTGTTTTTTAATTCAATTTAATTTAATTTTCATATAAAAACTAAAAATGAATCAAACTATGAAATTATGTCTAAATTGAATTAAAATTAAATCATAAAATAAAAACTTAAACTAAATTGTATAATTCAAATCAAATTATTTTTTTTTTTAATTTTCTTAATTTTGTTACTCAACCTTACTTGAAATAAATTGTAGAATGACCAACAAAATATAAAAGGAACATATAGTGTTTTGTATATGAAAAGAAGGAACACAGTATTAAACAAACAACCTGAAACACTAAATCCCAAACCAGCATAAGAGTATTTCGTTCCACTACCCAAACATACACCAAATTTGAGAAGAATAGCCGACCCCCTTTTTTACCCATTGCTGGGAAACTCTGCTGGATTTTCTCTGTTTTCTCAGACGACAAAGGTACGCTCTAATCTCAAGCTTTCCATTTTCCAATGATCATGATTTATCAGTTCCTACGAAACCCTCTTTCATTTGTTAATTCAGTTTTCGCGCGTTTATTCTGCCTTGAATCCAATCTTAATGGATGATTGATTCGGGGAAAAATATAACAAATTTTCAATCTGGTTAGAAATCGATGGACTTTTCTTTTTGGTTTCTTTTTGCAATTTTAGATCAGTTGGCAATGCATGAACATGTAGATTCGGATCACCAGTTAATGGTGGAAGGTGGTTTCCCGTATCCACATAGAATGGATATTGATCCAAGAAGGGAACGGTTTCCATGCTGCATCGTTTGGACACCTCTACCCGTTCTTTCATGGTTCATTCCTTTCATCGGCCACGTTGGAATTTGCAGAGAAGATGGAACTATTCTAGATTTTGCAGGGCCTAATTTTGTTTGCGTTGACCATTTCACTTTTGGACCAGTGGCTCGCTATTTGCAAATTAACAAAGATAAGGTATAAAATTTCATGTCGTGAACTTCTTGAATTTCTTTTACTGGTTCAAAAAAAAAAGTTGATGTACAGGAAAATGAAATGATAACTTCAACTGGGTTAAGAGTGTGAAAGTAAGATTCGTTGGGGATTTGATAGGGAATAACTGTAATAGACTATGGTTTCCAATGATTTGTGAATGCACTATGGCAGCTTTTCTGAAGTTGGATTTATCGGTTCCATTGTGCTTGATGCCCTTATCTTAGCTGGGGGATCTGATAGGGAAGAATTGTGATAGGCTACACAATCTGAATTTCTATGCTTTCCAATAATTTATGAACGGCAGACTTTGGAAGTAAGATTTTCCGGTTCCATTGTCCTTTACGCCTTTGCCTTAGATGGGGATTTGATACGTTAGAACTGTAACAGACTGTAATTTCCCATGATTTTCAATAATTTGTGAATGCATTATGGCAGACCTCTGAAGTAGGATTTATCGGTTTCATGTTGCTTTATGCCTTTGCCTTAGATGGGGATTTGATATGGAGGAACTGCCCCGTAATAGACTAAAATTTCCCTTGATTTTCAATGATTTGTGAAGGCACTATGGCAGACATTTTAAGTTGGAATTATCAGTTCGGTTTTGCTTTACACCTTTGCCTTAAATGGGGATTTAATTGGGAGGAACTCTAATAAACTATAGGTTCCTATGCTTTTTAATAATTTGTGAATGCCCTGTGGTGGGTTTGGGGAATTTTTTTTGGAGTATTGGTTGTGAAGTATGGTTTCCATAATCGGAAATTGCATTGATGTAGAATATAACTCGTGTTTATTTTTAATAGTTCATGGATGCACTTCGGTTTTGTTGATATGAGAGGAAAATTTTGATTATAGATAGTTATAATCAGTGCCAATGACAGGAAGTGTTGATGCCAGTATTTATGCTTTTGCGTATTTCTTTTCAATCCTTTTTCCTTAGTTAAAGATGTAATCTTTGGAGTTTCTTTTACTAGGAATGCAGCATTTCTCCCCATTCATCTGCACTTAAAGGGGATGTTGAAAGCCAGCATGATGATCCTAGAAGGGAGACATTAACATGGGATGATGCTCTTCGAAAAAGCACGATGGAGTTCCAACACCGAGCATACAGCCTTTTCACCTGCAACTGTCATTCATTTGTAGCAAACAACCTGAACAGGTTAGGCTTTCATTCTGGTGGTTGGAATGTAGTGAACATTGCTCTTCTCGTCTTGCTCAAGGGACAGTGGGTAAACAGAATCGGGTTTTTGCGAACATTCTTGCCATTTGTAATCATATCTGGTCTCGGTCTCGTGTTTGGTGGAACAACTTATCTGTTTTTCTTGGCCCTCTTTGCATCCCTTCTTGTTGGTTGGTTCCTTCTTGGTACTTTCTGTTTCAAGAATTTGATCCAATTGTAGCTTTTAAGTTTATCTCTCCAGCTCCATTAACGTTGAATGATCTGCTTGTTAATATTCATGGCTATTTATGTATACGTTTCATGTTAGTGTGTATACATAATCGGACGAATTGCACCACATGCTGAGTGAGTGATACAATAACACCTTGATTCGACAAAAACGAGTCATTATAGTGTTATAAAAAATTTGGGCAGACTTTTGAAACAATCTTATAATAATCAAGATTGGCTACTTCAAGAATCTCCTATACAACGGTGGATGCAAAAGATCATACGCTGATTGTTTGTATTTGGCGTGTCCTTGTTTATATTGAATAGGAATCTCCGTACGTAATTTCTGGCAGGATTGTGATCCGACTAGTTTGAGTATTGTTAAGTTTGATTCGATTCAAAAAATTTAAATTTAAATTCGACTCGATTTGAAAGCTCGCGAGTTTAAAATTATCAAATTTGACTCGAACTTGAAATTAAAAATTAAAAGTTGACCTGAACTCGAAAAAATTTGAACTCAAAACATTTTCAGACTATACCGAAATCTAAATTTACTTATTTTTTTCTTTTTGAATTAACCATGAGTATCCCACTGATTGATTAATTCGGATCAAATTTTACAAAAATCTATTATAGGGATGACTATCTCAATTCAATTTGATCTATTCGTTTATTTAAACAAAGAGAAAGCATTTTTTTCGTGACAATTGAAAGTGGAATATTATTTACAAATAATATTTGAATTCGGTTCTCATTTTGGTCGATATGTAAGTACATAAAATTTTCAAGTTATTTTTTAAGTACAGATTTAGTTTAAAATTGGATATTTTAAAATTATATTATTTTAAATTCCAATCATTTAAATGTATTGATTAAAATTTTAAAATAAAATCATCACTAATTCAAATTATTTTAAATTGTTTATTTGGATAATTTATTTCTAGTTAAACTATACTGTTAATCATCTAATTATTAGTATATCTTTGTTTTGATTATCAAACTGTAATAACTTTGAATTTCTGTAATTTGGACCAAAATAGAAAATAAAAAATATTTGTGATCAAATTAAAAATTTTACAGTTTCATAAAAACTGAAAAGACTTGAATAATAGTTGGATAACTAAGAGGGGCAGTGAATAAAACCCGACTCGAAAGATTACTTTTTCGGCTCAATACGAATTAACTTCGAGCAAAACTCTAAACTCGATTTGATTACAAAAAATTAAGTTCAAATCAGTTATAAATTACAATCCAAATAATTTGGAATTTTTAGTAATTGTGAATTGATTTTCATGTTTGAGTCGATACCTTAACTTTGTATGTTATATGTATATTACATATAAAAAATATGAAGAAATATATATGTATGATATATTGCTATGAAAAATCATTTAAATTAAAATAAAATAATATCATAATATTATAAATATTTACAATTAAATTTGAATAAAAATTCAAAAATTTATCTCGACTCAATTGATTTGACTAGAAAAAATTTCAATCCAAGATTGAGTTATAAAATAAAACTCGAATAATTCAAATTTTTAACTCAATTCGATCTGTAATATGTTGTTAAGATTTAAGATTGCGTGTTTAAGTACTGCTTTCCTACTTTCCCCCATTGGATAGACACGAAACAACTGACCAAACGGAAAGGGCAACTGAAAATGGAGAAGTGGAGAGCTACAAGCAATCTCCGGCGATCATTGAAGTCGATTCTCAACCGTCAATTAAGTTCTGTTTCAGGTTTTATCCGCTGCCTTGAGCTCAACTCCTTTGAATTGTTCTTCAGAAATTTTTTAGTATTGTCGGAAGAATTATTAATATGGTTTAAATATCATTACGTTTTTTCAACAGAATTTAGATATTTGAATGAAAAAAGTTGTCAGCCGATCTTCAATCTGATCCGAGATTACAACAGTGTCGGAGAAGTGAATGCGATTCGGTACGGATGTTTCAGTTCAATGTCGACAGTTGTTCAGAGAAATCCTTCATTTTCGACTTTAAATTCCGATGATATTAGTTATTTTAAGCAATTACTAGGAGAGAAAAGTGTTATTCAAGATGAGGATAGACTCGAAACTGTAAATACGGATTGGATGCATAAGTACAAAGGCTCCAGTAAGCTTTTGCTTCAACCTCGAAATACTGAGGAGGTTCATTTTCTTAATTTTCGCTCGTCCATCTTTTTTGTATCTTATCCGGTACTAAAATCGAGGTCTTTGTATGTATTTTTATATTCAATTGTGTATTGCAGGTGTCACAGATTCTCAAATATTGTAATTCGAGGTGTTTGGCTGTTGTTCCTCAAGGGGGAAATACTGGTCTTGTTGGTGGCAGTGTGCCTGTTTTTGATGAGGTGCTGGAAATTGTTTCCCATTATTGATCAATAATCTATTGTTTGATCGTCCTTTTGGTTGAGGTTTTCTTCTTGTCTTGTATTTAATTAATTGCTCTTGCTGATATAATTCTTCAGGTTATTGTCAATGTTGGTTCAATGAATAATATCATAAGTTTTGACAAGGTATGCTTTTATGTTATTTCTCTGTTTGTTTCTTGCTTATTCTGTTTTTTTTTTTGGAGCCAATTATAGATGTATAAGGACCTTTCATTTTGAATCATGATGATTCAGTGTGGATCCTACTTATCAAAATTTACTAGGGACCTTATGAATTGCATTATTGGACTTCATGAACCAAAAAGAAATAACGCCTAGTAATCCTGATAGATCCTGACCAATTCAGAACTCTAAATGAAACTACTTTATAAAGGAAAAGAAAACACGCAACCCCGTATATATGAATGGTTTTTGTATGCTATATTTCAGGTCAGTGGTATATTGGTATGTGAAGCAGGATGCATATTAGAAAATCTTATCTCTTTCCTGGACAACCAAGGGTAATTGCTTGCTACTGTCAATATATCTGTGGATATTGATCTGCCTTCGCTCATGCTATATCAGTATATGTTTTATTTCAGATTCATCATGCCTCTGGACTTAGGTGCGAAAGGAAGCTGTCAAATTGGTGGAAATGTTTCAACTAATGCTGGTGGTTTGCGCCTTGTACGTTATGGTTCGCTTCATGGGAATGTACTTGGTGAGGAATCTGCTTGTCCCGGCTTTGAATTTGAACTTCAGAATAATTTTGTTCAATTTCCCCCTTTTCTACCCTTTAATTCCTGCAGTGTAAACATACAGAACCAAGGAAGTTTTGTTAATTGGAAAGGAAAACTGAAAAAGAGCCTGTTGAATGTTATGCATAGTGGAACTGCTAATATGAAAATGTTAAGGCATTGCATTCTCATCCATCTGGTTATATGAGGTTATGCATATTTATTGTTGTACTTGGGATTTATGGTTGCTTAGACAAATCTCAAAGTATTTCAAGTTTCTTCTTGATGTTTGAAGCTCATTTTCTAAAAGAAAAAGAACATGAAACTATGGAGATGGATTAATGTTAATGTTAGAATGAAGTGAACGATCTTGAAGTCGAGGAGCTGAATATAGTGTAGCCATTTAACTATTATTAACACCACTTTGAACTTATCTTCCGACTTCCATAACATTATAGGTCTTGAAGCTGTTTTAGCAAATGGTGATGTGCTTGATATGCTTGGGACTTTGCGTAAAGATAATACAGGATATGACCTGAAGCATTTGTTTATAGGTGAGTGCCTTTAGTAGTAGATTGTTGCTAGTGCATTTTCAGTAGTGTACTCAACTTCCTTTATGTTTCTCCTATCATTGGTGTAGGAAGTGAAGGATCTCTGGGAATTGTAACTAAAGTTTCTATATTGACCCCTCCCAAGTTGTCTTCGGTAAATATAGCTTTTCTTGCATGCAGAGACTATTCTAGCTGCCAGGTTTGATCTGCTTCCATAATATTTTTTTCTTGGGATCAGTTTATGCTAAACTAATGCAGAATAATAGTATAGCTGACACCTTTTTCTTCTGCTTACCATTTTCTTTCTCATGTTTTTCAGAAACTACTCATGGAAGCAAAAAGAAAACTCGGGGAGATTCTATCTGCTTTTGAATTTTTGGATATCCAGGCAATGGATCTGGTTAGCTTTCTGTAGCATCCTCCAACCCTTTTTCCCAGTCTGTGCATCATATGCTATTAATTTTGCTGCTAAATACCCTTTTTTCACTTTCATATTTTGACTGGACTAAAGGTTGAAATTCCCTGATTTATTAATATATAGCTCTGCAAGTCCAATTTTCTTGTTAAATGAAGGTTGGAATAGAAGCATTGCTGATTCTTTATACTTCCTCTATTTGCTTCCTACTTATTGCATTATATCTGCCAGGTCTTGAATCATTTAGATGGAGTTCGGAACCCATTACCCGCCTCAATGCACAACTTTTATGTTCTAATTGAGACAACAGGCAGTGATGAATCTTATGATAGGTATCATTGTTAATTGGTTATTATCCATGTATTGGTAATAAGCTTGTTTTAAATACATTGTTTTACTATACTAAATTTCCTGCTTTCATAACACAAACGTAACTGAAGCTCAAACATTGATTGCTAGACCAAATGTCTAAAATCGAGTAACAAATTAAACCTACCTCTTGAGTTTTTGTACTTTTTGGATTTGTTGGAACTTGATGCTATCAAATGATCTTTCATTGACCATTTTATGGACGGCATACATATGAATTTGGTTCTTATCGCTTCTGGCTCCACTTCCTGAATGAAAAGGAAAGGAAAAGATTAAAGATCAGTAGACGCTTGTACTATATTTTGGGATTCCTTCTAATATCTATTTTAAGCTATCAACACCCATAATATCTCTACGTGTTTACAAATTATTAGAATTCCTGCAGGGAGAAACTTGAGGCCTTCTTACTTAGCTCGATGGAAGGTGGTTTAATTTCTGATGGTGTTCTTGCACAAGACATAAACCAAGCATCCTCGTTCTGGCGAATACGTGAGGTTCCCATTTTGATACCACACTTTTTTGTAATTGATAATTGTCGGGGATACTGCTAATCTTATATTCAAGGATTTAGTTTTAATGTTCCTTCTCTTACGTTGTAGGGTGTGCCAGAAGCACTGATGAAAGCCGGTGCCGTTTACAAATACGATTTGTCATTGCCTGTCGAAAAGATGTACGATCTTGTGGATGACATGAGAACAAGACTTAGTAAGCAAAGCTGTTATTGTTTGTCTATAAAAGTTCTCTTTTCCCATTAATTCAATGTGATTTCGTCGTTAGTAAATTTCTAGTCCCGCATTTCACAGAATATTAATGTCACCAAAAATCCACTCTATCTGCATCTTAAATTTTCAGGTGATTTGGCTAGAGTTGTTGGATACGGTCACCTGGGGGACGGAAATTTGCATCTTAATGTATCTTCTTCGCAGTATGATGATAAAGTAAGATCCTTGTTTAAAACATGAAGAAATGCTTCAATATTTGTATTAATAATATGTGATATATTGCACAGATTTTAGAACAAATCGAACCGTACATCTATGAATGGACATCTAAGCACCGAGGGAGTATCAGTGCCGAACATGGCCTGGGACTGATGAAAGCTAACAAGATTTATTACAGCAAATCACCTGAAACCGTGAGTTTTCTTCTAAACAAAAGAATGCTACAAAGTTCTGCTTGCTGGTTTTGTTTCTCCCGGTCATGGTTGCTTCAAGGCGTGTCTAAATCCAGAATTTGTTTTGATAGGTAAAAACAATGCGTTCAATAAAAGGTTGCTTGACCCCAATGGGATACTCAACCCGTATAAAGTTCTTCCGCACTCTCTCAATTCATAGAGCCTGGTGTATGACCGTGGAGTATTCGTTTTCCCACATTCAGTGTCAATGATTCCGTTAAAGTTCTGAATATACAAAGATCCATAATGTAGGTGAGCTGAAAATGGGGAAAGGGGAAGATCCAAGCAGTTTAAATGAACACCATTGATTTGGCTAACAAAGGTCATGGCTTCTGACAGCATAAGCAGAATTTGGTATAATAGTGGAATAAGATGATCGAAATGTACAACTCACTGAAGAATAATATTGCAAAAATAAGTTGAACTTTGTTGAACTCTTTTTCTGTAATGTGATATTTGTACTTTGATTAAGTTGATGTGTCCTGAACCTTTCTTCCTTCACAACTCCATACATTCATTGTTGATGTTGATGCCGATGCTGATGCCTTCTTCAATCATTCTTTCTTACCTGTTGTAACAATTTGAGTACATTTTCATAAACAATAAATGTTATCGAAGAAGCAGGTACATTTTTCAGAAGGTTCGGGGTTATCCCTTTGTAAAATCCGCGAAGACCCTCAAACCTGCAAGTCATCCAGATACCAAAACAAAAAATCAACTTATACAGGAAGGAAATTGCAAATAGTAGCATTTTTTTTATAGGAACAAATAGTAGCATTAACAATGGTTAATACAGATTAAAGTTTATCCTCATCAGTAAGACGGAAAATTCAGGTTTCGATATGTTCTCACCGTGCTGTTTCCTTCACAACATGCCAACTGTTCATGTATCTAGGAATTCCATCGTCACTAGGTCTTTGCTGAAAAAGATAAAAGAGGCAACTTCAAATTACAGGCTTTGATACAAATCAAACACCGGTCGCAATTTATCTCTTTGTTGCAGCCTTCGATACTCATTTCTGAATGTGTCAGACAAAGGTAGTCCAATTTATTCATCCAGGTTTAAGGAAATATTCATGCAGTCTCATGACAGCTTTGTTTATTCCTAATTAAAGAATTTCAGTAAGTCAATTGTATTCATAAATGAAATGTTATAAATTTTTATATACCTGTGTTCGAGTTCGTATAACCTGAAGAAAAAAAGCCACCATTGTAAGGCACACTATGACCAACCAGCTCAGAGAAGATGATTATATACAAATGCTTCACACCACTTATAACAATGCATACCTGAAATGGATATGTAATAAGAATGGCGGCAATTTTAGACGACCCCCGAGCACAGCGTAGTCAAATGAGTTCTGTGCAAAATGCTAGAGATTGTTAGAAATCTTTATCCTTTATAGCCTCCTTAAATTATAGAACCATGAGGAGACTGAAAAAAGATCTTGATAGTGTCAAGTTCAAATTATCAGTCATTAAATATCTCCAGATTTATTTGAGTTTGTTAAACCATGTGCCCGGAAACACAATAAACATAGACACTACGAGCATATGGCACAAATCATGAGTTTGTATGTCATTTTTTATGCATATAAACCCGAAGTTTAGACAAATGGAACTGCATCTACGTACCAACAAATTACTGGCACTTTCAGATTTCTGTTTTCTTGCTTTATAATCAACCATTATCCTACGCAGTTCCTCATATGCTGTGAACTGAATAGCTCCATGGGAAACCTGCTAAATTCCAAATATTCATCAAATGCTCTTCATTTTCTTAAGTACCATGTCAGGCACCCATGACCAACACTTGTCCACAGTAGGGTATATTGTATGATCCTCCAAAGGCTCTCCAAATAAATGGAAAGCTTGAAAAAGATTTGAACATACCCGTGTGGCCATGTCGGATACATGCCCATGTCAAGCACTCACATTTGACTCAGAGTAAAATAACAATTTGGTGGGAAGGTATGTGTGTACAAGCATAAAGTGATGTAAAAAGCAGGATAAAAAATACGAGAGAAACAGCCAGAGAACTACCATCAACAGACCAGGACCAAGTCCTTTATAAAGTGCAGTCCATCCTTCCTCTCTCAGTATTGTTCTTAAGGCATCTGAAATAATTAAGACAAAACGATATTGAGAAAATAGAAGCAACAGAAATGGTCATTAAATGCACCAGAAAACCATGAAGCATGGATTACGATGCCGGGTGAAAACATTAAGGCACTAAAAGGTGTTCATGTTGAAAAATTTAAACCCCTCTTGATCATCTATAGTTTTCAAATGTGGTTAATTTCTCATCAGTGCTAAAAGCCATATCTGTTTAATAGAGTTAAATCATCACTAGAAATGTCAACTGCCACAAGAAATCTACAAATAAAAGGTTTATCTTCAAAAATTTCAAGAATCAACATCTCTGTAGGACCAATGATATCAATTCAAATGGCTTTGCTAGCAAGTTAATGTTAAGATGAAGAACTGACCATATATACCAGCATAACGTCGATTTTTGTTTAGAGGATTCTGAAGCTGCAATCTTGTTTTAATAAGCCAAATAGGATTTGTGCACAAGGAAACCTGAAAAAGGCCACAAGATTCAAATTGTTAATAGAATACAAATTGTAAACCATCTCGTTTAACGTCAATTAAAAACCAGTCCAACCTAGCATCAGCAGGGAGAATATGAGTAGATGACTAACTTAAACCAAGACAACTCAATTAGCATCCAACTGCAACAACATGTCGTTAACATCTTAGGCCATATCCTAAAGGATTTTAAGCTCAGTTATTAGCAAATTTTTACTGTTAAAAGAAAATTCTTTTGAGTCTTCTAATATCAACTGTAAGTTTGATACTATTAATAAGTGTGGACCTTCCATTCCCCCCCCCCCCCCAAGTCATGTTATTAGAAGTTCATATACTCACCAAAGCTCCAGCTTCTGCAGCAGATGCAAGATGAAGGCCAGAGCTAAGCTTCTCCTCTCTGTTTTTAGAATACCTTTGTTTAGCTCTGCCATAGCTACAAGGAATAACAATAGAACAACAAATTAATTGATTGTCACAAAACATTTTTCAACCTGTAATAATAATTCATATATGTATATAGATATAATAGCCAAATGATGTACTGTAATCAAGCTGTTGAAAACACATGAAAATCTATAGTGCACTTACAAGAAGAAATATAAACCCCATGAAACAGTGGATCCTAAAACTGCAGGAAGAAAGCCAGCATAAAGCCCCCTCAAACCCTACATGTGATCAACCCATAAAACTGTTAGCTATCAAAAGAAAAACGGGCTTTACAAAGAGAAACTGTAATAATATCCAATGAAACTTTGAAAGAAAGCAACTTTACATGAAGACAACCAAATAAAAGTGCCTTAGACTAAGCAAAAAGGAGTAATTGAATTGTCTATATGATATAGATAAAATAATCACATAATTTCGTGGTTATATGATCAATTCAGTAGCTTCAAAATTCTAATACTTGAGGAATACAATTTGATAAGCTAAACAAACAAGAACAAAAAGGAGAAGAAAAGGGATGATACGGTGCGAACCTCTAAGCGAGTAATGGTAAAAATGGCGTGGGCGGTGTTCTTGTAAGTCGGGAAATTGGTGACTCGACCATCGTTAACTACATAAAACTCAATCCAATCAGCGACGACGGAAAAGACTGAAACATATTTGACTAAGCTATTGCGTACACACACACACAGAGAGGGAGGGAGAGAACGACCTTGAAATCTCGTACGGACGATGTCCAGAGGGTACATCGCGGCTACTGTGGCGAAGCCCGCCACCGCACCGGCGGTTGCAGTTTCCCATTGCCACTGTGATTGTGACATTTCATTCAGAAATTTGAAAAGAAAAAACAGCAGCGGCGGCGACTAGGAGCAAAAACAGGCTCGGGATCTCGACCGCCGATCACATCTCGCGCTACCGTTATTTCTGGTGCTTCACTTTATATGGGCTCCAAAGCTAATTTGTTTACAGAAATGCCCACGGTTCTCTAAATGAGTCATCAAGACACAAGGAACGAATCCACTCCACCTTTCTGTTTTCATCTCTCTCTTTAATTATATGCTTAATGAACCATCTAATTTTCAGATTATATATATTTCATCAAGTTATTTTCTATTTTTTTACTTATATTTTAATTTTTAATTCCGATTTCATTTCAATATCATTTTAAATTCAACTTTAAATATATAACAGATTTAAAAATATCATATTCAAATAATAAAATAACACAAAATATTTTTGAAATTATTATTCAATACCAAATAATTTAAAATACCTGAAAATTGATTAATTAAATCATTAATACGATTTATTAATATAAATCGTTTTTAGAATCATTAGTACGATTCCCAAATCTGGAACTGCTTAAATCATTCCTAATTCCCATCATCTTTATTTTTATTAATATAAAATATTTTAATTAATGAGTTGATATGAAATAGAAAAAGAATAAAATGGTATACAATATGAATGTAATACAGATATAATAGATATTATAAAAATTTTAAATTTTACGTATTTTCTTTTATCTATTTATATTATATAAAATATGATATAGAGAGTTGATAAATTTGTGTCCTAAAACTCACATAAATAAATAATCCAATTCAATCTTGTCTGATGAGCACGAAATTCAAATTCGACGAGTTCTAACATGACTTGACTCAATATGGTCAGATTAAAAATAATTCGAATCAAATTATGTTCGAGTTTGGGATAAAAATATTTGACCTGGCTCGAAAAAGTAATCTAATGATATCTTATATATTTAGGAATAATTATAATAATAATCCTTTACATTATTATTTTTCAATTAGATCTCTATTATATCAAATAAAGTTAAGACTTATATATATATATATATATATTTCGAGTCAGGTCGGGTTCAGATTAAATGAAGTTATCTTAAATTCGAGTCGAATTTTGAATAGAATGTGTATTTTTATTGAGTCGAGTCAAATTAACCCAAAACCCGACCCGATCTCACACATGTACAGCCTGCCCTACCCTAGGTTATTGACAAATGAAATGCAAATCAAAATCCCATTTTACTACTTTTTAGTACAATTCTCATCAAATTAGGCTCAATCCCCATTTTAATAAGTCAAAGTGATCCATTAACTGCGTTAATAAACATTCAGGTCAACATTCTAAAATTTAGGTCATTATATTTTCATCCTATTTTTTTTAAACAACGTTTAATTTTCTATCAATCAAAACGTGACGCAACAGTGTCCAATAAATATTAAATAAAAAATTAATGATTAAAGAGAAATAAAAAAAATATTATAATATAACACACATTGATTTTGTGATGAGAACTAATCACCTGCTGCTATTGATGTTCTTCAGTTAATGGACCATTGGGAAGAATTCAAAGTGAATTCCATTCTTTAGATTTGGTGTGTCGATATTAATGTTGGTGAAGTCATCTAATCTTATTGTGTTTATGGCTAATCGGGTGATATTGCAGCACTATAGTTTTGCGCTGCAGACCATGGGGATTTTGGAATTGATCACTTACTGATAAAACTGGTGTTGAAATTGTAATGCAGGCTTATTTGTTTCAGTAAAACTGGTTTGATGGGGGAGTGTTCATCAGTTTCTGGTATTCTGTTGCTCTCCATCAGTTTCTTCAGAAATATATATATATATATATATATAGATAGATAGATATTTGCTTCAACACCATGTATTCTCCATCCTTGAATAGATGTACAAATAAAGAAGAGATGATTTAACAGATATCTCACCAGAGAAGTACAAGAAAGAAACATGACAAAAACAAGCTCAAAAACATCTCAAACACAAACGATATCACATCCATGCTCTTCTTCTTTCTCCAGCTTATAGTCCCCTTCCGCCTGAGGTGCCAATTTCTTCTTTGTTTTCTGGTTCACGGGAAACTCATCCCAGATTTCAATGTCCGAGTCTGTCAGGTCTTCAAATTGATTTTGTTGACAATTAGGTTCAGTATCACTGACCAAGCTCCAGGTTTTAACTTGACTGGCTATGCTCCCATGAGCTGTTACAATGGTAAGAAAAGCAAATAAAGCATCTCCGCAGATTGTCTCATAAACAAATCGATCATCGAATTAATGACCATAACAGGTTCTACTCACCCGGTGGCTTGCAGTCCTTGATTGTTTTCAACAGCTGCGTAGATGTCAACTTTCATTAAGATTTCACTTTCAGGATGCTTAATTAGCTCAAAGACACATATGTCACCAACACGAAGGTGATTATCTTTGACAAATGCCCGCCAACCACCATAGATGTTTGCTGCACGATATTTATCCGAATTGCCATAGTACTTGGCAGGCCAAGTTTTCCCAGAAGAATTGCATAAGGTCAAATTACACCTTTGCATTGCCAAAAATTTCCTAGCAAAGTCTGATGGTACAAACTGGAATTCAAGAAAGGGATAGAAACCAGAGAAAGGGCTGCATTAGTTTGTGATTTTAAGCTACTTGGTGTCAGCAAAAGGATGATATAGAGAATAGCCAGGTTCTAATTTTGAAAGTTACCATTCTGTATGTATCGCTAACAAATGACGGCCGCATGACCATCACGAGAACTGGGTTTCCGCTTCCAGAACCTTTGAAAGCTCTAGCTATCTGAACAGACCGTGCCTTTTCGATGGCTGTCAACCGTTGCACACAACTGAAAACCTCAGTTTTTACACACCACTCAGCTGTACTTTACACAGGGATAAAATGACATGAGCATCTCAACAGTAAGCCACTGCCAAAACTGAAATAGAGAAAGCATACCATCAACTTTCTTGAGGTTTTCAAGATTGATCCCAGCATCAGGGCTTATACCAGAAGATAAAACCTCTAGCTTCGAATTTTTTTCACGTTGACTAGGTGAGTTAGTTCTCATTTTCTTTTGAGGAATGGGACTTGGAAAATGGGATTTATCTTTACTTTTCCTACTCCCTGAAACAACAAAAATATATCACCATCCTCTTCACTGCTAGTACATGATTGATCTATGGAGCACTCTTGTCAAAGATCATATTTAACTTCTGTACTCACCTAATCTCGATGAAGACGAACTTGCAATATCAACGTCTCTTTGTTTCTCGGTTGGAGTCAATGGTTGCATACTGATTTCGTCCATAAGGTCAGGTTTCAGACACCCCCAAGCACCAGACACTCCGCCATTGTCATGTTTGGCATAATGTTTGAATTCACCTGTTAAGATCGGAACTTTTAGGACTACTAACTTTGGAAACATACCATTGCTTACTCAAACTAAAAAAAACATTCAAACAAAAAGATTATGACCCCCAAATTCTTTAGTTGAATATTGGCAATTCATGCTCTTCTTCTGTTTATCAAGATTTGAGCTTTCAAATTCTCTGGAGATTGGGGAACATCGAGTTTGTTGACAATCAGGTTCAGTATCACTGACACTGACCATGCTGGTTCTAACTGGACTGGCTTTGCTCTTATGAGCTGCAACAAAATGAAATGATAAGAAGAAACAAGGGATCTCTATAGATTGTCCTATAAACAAACCGATCATTAAACCGATAGTCTATATAACAGGTGCTACTCACCCTGTGATCTGCAGGCCTTGCTTGCATTTCCAACAACCGGGTAGATGTTCACTCTAAGTAATATTTCATGGAGTTTAATTGCCTCAAAAACACAAATGTCGCCAACTCCAAGACGATTGTGTTGCACAAATGCCTGCCAGCCACCATACAGTTGTGCCCGCCGTTTCTTATTTCCTGCATTCACATAGTACGTCACTGGCCAAGTTTTCCCAGCGGAATTGCATAAGGTCAGATTACACTTGTTCTTTGTCAAAAATTCCCTAGCAAAGTCCAATGGTATAGCCTGGGATTCAAGAAGGGAAAACAAACAAGAATATGAAACACTTTCAGTCCAAACAAAGAGTAAACAATTTGTAATTTTTGGTCAGAAAAATGATGAATTCGAGATTATCCAGGTTCTGGTTTTACATGTTACCATTTGATAACCATTACTAACAGATGAGGGTCGCATGACCACCATGAAAACTGGATTTTCAGTACTTTTGAAAGCATTAGCTATCTGAACTGCACGAGCCTTTTCAGTGTCTGTCAAATTTTGGGAACAGCTTAAAAGCTCCGTTTTCAGATTTCCACAAGCTGAAATTCCTCCAACTCCTATCGTAGATGGACTCGAAATCATAGTAAACAACAGCATCAAAAGGAAGAAAAAGAAAACAAAAAAATGGCAAGAACATAACCACTGCTAAAATTGAAATAAAGAATGCATGCATACCATCAACTTTTTCCGTAGAACTACACGTGTTTTCATTAATCTTTCTAGTGTTGGGGTCATCAAGGCTAATGTGTAAAAATTAATTCTCTAACTTCAAATCTGTTGTCATTTTCTTTTGTGTCAGTGGACATGTCAAGTCTGGTTTTTCTTTGTTTTTCCTACAGGCATATTCAATCTCTGAAGCACTTCTATCGAAAATTAATACATGGAAATGATCATTCCCTTGATATCGAAAAACCAAAAAGGACCCGAATTCCAGTGAGTACTGCTCTGCAAATTCTCGCCAACCCTTTTGCAACCACACCCTTTCATCACTCTTTGTAAGTTCCACCTGCCATATTGCACCACTTGGGACCTCAAGCTTAACAGGGCTTGACAGTTGGTTTCCATATTTTCTCACAAATTTTCTAGGAATCCCCTGATGATTACCGTATACAGACATGAACAGTCAATGGAAATTTCAAGAATGAATCTGATTACAAAGTAGAAATATCATGAAATGGAGAAAAAAAGAAGAAGAAATACTTACAAGCATCCCATCTCCAATAGCTTCCTGAAGAATTATTTTGAAAAAATGGGGAGTTTTGGATGCAAACATGGGCTGATCATTGTCTCTACGAGGATCAGAACTCATCGCGTAGAAGATTTGTTCAAGAGTTTGTTGAAAAGGTTTCCGGCATAAACAATAGAACAAATACTTCTGGTGCTAGCTTTAATGCTTACTTCTCGATGAACTCGTGGAAAAACATATCTCGAGCAAACAAAAAGTAAGAGTGAGAAGGCAGAGAGATTACCCATACTTAATAAACACGTGACAATCTACATAATCCTAATCTATTTGTGGTGTTTTAGCTTAATACTTGTCTTGGTTTTGTCAGAACTCGAGTACCTAATACGTTTGAGTAATCATTAGCCTATTGAATTGTCTTCTTCTTTTCAGCTTCGGAATCCATAACCATGATGATATGGAGAGCAAGCCGTGCAAGAGAGTACATATCTTTAGACCCCTCAACCTTCCCTCGGAAGTTGGAACATAAGAGTTTCAATCAGAAAGTTTAGTGTCTTTTGGTTTTAAGCGAAAAACAATGTACAAAATACATGTTAAAGATATTCATTTGATCGAACACAACCATTAGCCAAGTGAGAATAATAACGTGTATATTTAAACACTTCAAGAAAAATTCATACATAAATAATGTGAGATTTAAGAAACTAATCACTAAATATGCTGATTTTTTGCTTGTAAAAGATTGATTTTTAATATGATCAAATTCATATCAATACAACAATCAAAGACATTTTATGATTAAGTTTAGGAATTGTCTTTGACAGTCCAAAAATCAACATGTATAAACATGAATTTTGATATCACTTGGAGCTAAAGTTGGAAACAACCAATCACTTGTTATGTATGTCGTCGTTGTTGTTGTCCTTGGAATATTGACCGCCATTGCTACTAGATTAGCTATTGATGCTTCTAATCCAATTAGTGACAAAGCTGGAGGCATTGCTGAGATGGTGGCATGAGCTGCAGAATACCAGAAAGAACCGATGCTCTTGATGCTGCTGGAAACACCACTGCTGTATTGGAAATCACATGTTTTTAAGAGCAATCAATCCAGTTTCAGTTATAGTTGTTGGCGAATGAATGTTAATTAAATTCATTGTTTTGTAGAAACTAAAAGCCAGATTCATTAACGAGGCAAAGTTTGGGTTCTGTACTTTGTGTAGCCTTTAAAAGCATCCTTCTCTCTTCCTATTTAAGAACAGGAAGGAAATGGATAAGCTTTTAGCAATTTTGCGAAAACGTCCTCTGGATTAAAACTAACAGCACATTTACAAGTAAACCATACCAATAAACAAAATATTAAAAAGTAAACAAAATCTTCCAATGATTTCTAAGTTCGGTGGCAGAAGACTCGATAGTGTTCTTCGAGTTGAAACAATATCGGTTCTCAGAGAAAACAATATCGGTTCTCAGAGTTCATTACAACAAAGCAGCAAAACCAAGGATAGCGAAAACAATGTTGACCTAACCATATTGGCAGATGGCTGCCTCTGGGTGGTAGTGAAGCATTTCAGTCCACATCATCTCCCTAATCATCAGTTCTCCCATGTTCTCGTCTATCTCGAGATCAATCGGTACTTGAGCAGGTGGGTTGGACCTCGGATCATAAAGCCCTGACAAGTAAGGATGTAGGAGTGCTTCTGTGACGGTAATTCTCTTCGATGGGTCAAAAACAAGCATCCTTTGCAGCAAATCTATGGCTAACGGATCGGCTTGTGGATATAAATGGGAAAAGTGGATACCCCTAGAGTATGGAAGTGACTTGATATACCTTTGAGCTTTCCGGATTATCAATAAACTGAAGATCAGCCTCTTGTTGGCTTCCAAGAACATTGATAATCAGCTTAAGCTGGTTGAGGCATTCCGTTCCAGGAAAGATGGGCTTCCGACCAAGAATCTCTGCAAAGATGCATCCTACCGACCAAACATCAATGGAGGTCCCGTAATTGTCACAACAGAGTAGGAGCTCAGGTGCACGGTACCAGCGGGTGACAACATACTCTGTCATGAATTGTTCGTTGCCTCTGCTGGTTCGAGCCAGCCCAAAATCACATATCTTTAAGTCACAGTTAGCATTGACAAGGAGGTTCCCAGGCTTCAAATCTCGATGAAGGATGTTTGCTGAGTGGAGGTACCTCAGCCCTCGCAGTAACTAAAAATATATTACTAAGGTTAGTCACAACCAGACTAATACCTAACAGAAGTTAAAAAAATGGTTTACAACTTTACATGGAACTAAATTTTCTTCGGCGTAGCAACAGAATAGAGATTCACTACCACTCGAGATTCAACATGAAACAGTCAAGAAAATTTCAGTATGTCTTAGGTGTTGCTGATAAGCAAGCAGCATAATTCAGACTTCGCTTTATCGAATGTACATATCATATCCTGACAACCAAATAGAATGAGTCTGCATTTGATCAAGCAGTTAAGTACATAGTGAAGCAATTATGTTGAAAAAACTGTGAGGGAGGATTAGCCGTACTCGATTCTTTACCGTTTTACAAGGAAACAGGACCGAGTGAACCCATTTAAGAGGACCAAATGGAAAGAAAGTGAAGGTAAAAGGAGGTGGAAGCGGATACAGAACTATCAGAAAAGACCCTTTAGGTAAGTGAAACGACGAACATCATAAAATATTATGGCCTTTAAGATCCTGAACAACAATGAATTGAATAACTCTCCTTCATCAAATATGCATCAATATTTCTGAAGCTCGATTGTCATCATCTTGTACCATAATGAATCTATTAACCAGTTTCCACTGGTAAAAGCCAAATAACTCGTAGCCTTTTATTTTCCTTTGCTACCGAACTAAATGAGCATAGAAATCAGATGACAGAACGGAACTCATCAAAGCCTAAAGCCAAAAATGCACAGTAATGCAGTATAAATGAGAGGCTATTAATGCTTCAAAAATGGGAAAATCATGGTAATTACTAACAAGTCTAATGAACCATTTCAAGTATTTAAAAACCATAATGCAAACTCATAGATAACATGTATCTAAATCCAGAATTACCAAGTAAAAACCTCAAAAAACTTGACATACAAATTTATAACAGAGAGCAAATCGGAAGTACCTGAAAAATAAAATACTTGCAATGGTCATTAGAAAGCGGCTGAGGAGACTTAATAATCTGATGCAAATCGGTGTCCATAAGCTCATAAACCAAATAAACATCCTTGAAACTCGTTATCTGAGTCGGCATCATAACATCTTTCAAGGCTATCACGTTCTCATGTCGAACGTGTCTGAGAAGTTTCAACTCCCTCAAAGTTCTCAACGCATCAACACGGTTCTCAAAGACATTGTTGATCTTCTTTATAGCCACTTTCTCATTGGTTTCCCTGTTGATTGAAGAGCAAACGACGCCGTACGATCCCCTCCCTATAGGCTTGATTGGGACATACTTGGTGTCAATCTCGAAAATGGTCTGCCACATTGAGTAGTAATGTTTCCCTTTTGGCTTCACTCCATTTGGTGCCTCCACAAGCGTCGCCATTTCTCTGAAATTCCCAGGAAAAAATAACATAAAGAAACTACTTTTTTTTACCCCAAAAGAAAGAAGAAAAACAAATAAAGGGGTATAGAATCAATTCTTACTTCCTGCTTTGATCTTTTTAAATCAGCTTCTTCACTTTTTTTCCTCCTAGAAATTCAAATTATTCGTCCGTAAAATTCCAAACTTTAGCCTTCATTTCTTCCCCCAAAACCCAACTTTTTGCCTACCCTTTACTTCAAAGTTCAAACTCTAAACCAGCTTCAAATTCACAACTTTGAGATCATTCCTCCACAAAAAGAAGGAAAAAAGCTCCTTTCATTTTTCTTCCCCAGAAAGAAAAGTTGGGTCTTTATGCAAAACTCTTATCCAAAAAAATACATGTGATCTGATCTGATTAGATTCTGGATTTTTCCAATCAGACTAAAGAGAGAAGAGAGTGGAGAAATATATTTAAAGAGCATGAGGAAAGGTCAGGGACAGCGATGTGACGCTCACATGGCATTTTCTCGTGGCATAAACGACAGCTATGCACAAGGGTTTTAGGAAATATCACCATAAGCTTCTTTTTTTCTCTTTCTTTATTAGATAATTTGCTGTTTGATTTTGCTTAAGCGTTGCCATGCAAATACTTGAAATTTTTTTGTTTTTTCTCTCCTATTTTCCACCATTTTGAGGGAAGTGAACAGAAAAGACTTTTATCTTCACCGTTAGATAATTTGGTAATAAGGACAGTGGAAAAGTACTGATTCCCAAAGATTTGTCGGGTGTCTGACCAATTAATTAACAAAATGACAGCAAATATATATATATATAGCAAACATGTGTTACAGTTTTTTTTTTCTGTTAACTTCGTATCAAATAAAGTCTTAATGGGACTTTATTATCTCATCTTCCCAGTGGCTAAAAAGGGTTGGCTTTGCTTTGATAAAAGCGTGGAAAAGATGCCTTCTTCCTTTGAATACATTCTCGCCAATCGCTATTGCCTTTTGACTTTGTTTCTCCTTCAATATTCAAAGTGAATTGTTTCAACGACACCTTCCATAACTCCTTTTTCCAAGTAAACACGCCGTTTATACGGGTCTCCATCTGCCTTCCTTTTCATTTGTAAAAATGTTAAAATTATTGTAATGTTTGTCCCAATCTTAATTTTTTTAAATATTTTAAATTTAATTAAAATGATTTTTATTAGATAAATATTAGTTGACTAAAATAAATATATCGTTTAACTTTTTATTTATGTTAAATTATTGATATATAACATGTTACACCATCCAAGATAATGTGACATATATGACTCAAAATAATATATATATCATCATATAGGATGATGGGTATATGACATCACCTAATGTGACAATATGACGTGACATAACACCTAAAGTAATCATGTGACGTGATATTTTATTGATAGGTGGTTTATTTAATTATTTTTTGTCTTTAAATTTATTATGATAGGAGAAGCTCAATTGACAACCGAAAAAGTATAAGATGGGTTAATTGACAAATTGTATTTAGAGAGTAAGGAGAAAGAAAAGATAGACAATTTTGCACAATGATTTA